TGTGTGTGTGTGTGTGTGTGTGTGTGTGTGTGTGTGTGTGTGTGTGTGTGTTGAAGTTCCTGAAGTCTGTCCTCTACTTGTCATGGGGGAGTATAGATTTATCTGGCCTATATTAATGTCAAAAAACAAAAGTCCCAGAAAAGCCATTTAAAAAAATGTATGATAAGACTACACTTTCAGGAACCATTTCTGTAGTTTGTTACTATAGAAGTTTCTCTTGATGTGTAAAACACGGAGAGAAAACATTGTTTGTTAAGAGCATAGGTTCAAAACTATCATGAAATATTTTAGACCCTAGCTCTATGTCTCACTGTCTATATAATTTGGGCAGGTTACTTGAAGTTAATGAGCCTCAGTGTCTCATGATGTGAAAATACAGTGATTCTGATATTTCACAGTTACTTTTAAGAAAAAAGAAAATACTGTTTTGTAAAATGGATAAAGTGATGATTGGCACACATAGGTGTTCAATAAGTAATGAAGTCACCATTATCCATATGCCTACTCTTACTTATTTAGCCTAACTGGATTGTTTGTTTGTTTGTTTGGTTGGTTGGTTGGTTGGTTGGTTTTGTTTTGGTTTGTTTTGTTTTGGTTTGGTTTGGTGTTTTTAGGACATAGCTTTTCTTTGCAGGCCTGGCTGTCCTGGAACTCCCTTTGTAGACCAGGTTGGCCTCAAACTCATAGAGATCTGCCTGCCTAGTGCTGGGATTAAAGGTGTGTGTCACCACCACCCAGTACAACTATGATTTTTTTCCATGATTCTTAATCACACTTTATGATGTAAAGAAAGAGTTTTTTTGGAAGTCAGGTAAAGTGTACAATGATTATGTTTCAAAAGCTTAAAATCACTGTGTCTCTCTTTTCTCTTTGGGGCATAGAGAAGAGTAATAAAGCATAACTCAGGGACCAACGGTGAGAAATCAAACAAGAAACCGTATTGGCATAGAGCCTCAGACATGATGTATACCTAAAACTGTTACCTTGCAATATAAAACTGTCTTAACAGATCACCTTTTATTGTAATCACTTATTTATCCATTTTGTCCATACTTCCTAAATGCTTAAAGGAACTAACTCCTTTTTGGTTTTTCTATCTTTATGATCCCAGAGGCCTCTTAGCAATAAATCATCAATTTTACCTAACAGATAAATGAATATATATTTATTTCTCAAAAGTTACCACCAAGAAGAGCTTTTAGATTCGTAACCAAAAGGAATAGGTAGGACACAGGATGCTTGCATTTTCAGTCACTATAAGTAAAGCCTTGTTTATATGCAACAAATAGGAATTTATTCTATTAGAGAAAGAAGCAGAAAAAAAATTCAATGATGTCACCTACACATCTAATTAGTTATTAGTTCATCCAATATTAAATTCAAAATATGTCTCATGATAGCTAGACATTGTGTAAGACTTTATGGGTATGATCATAAACAAAGCAGACTTGGCACAAGTTCTGTAGAGTTTTAGGAGGGAGGGGAGGATAGACTCTGCCAAAAACATGGAAAATTATGACATTGATGATTACCATGAACAATGAGGCCAGGATGCCCTGGAAGCACATCTAAAACAATGTCAATTAAGAAGTTTTTCTCTTTTGTTTCTATGTTTTCGCCAAGATCCTCCAAGCTGATGACTATAGAATACAAATAACCATAGCCTCTAAGCAAGAGTCACTGAGAGGTAGCTCCCAAATCTCTGTTGGTTGTAGTCGTTTTCTTTTAGGCCACAAAAGACAGAGCTAGAAATAATTCTGAAAATAAGTTAATCGATATACAGGTTTTCCAGACCGGAGATCTCAACAGTAAAAGTACTGTGGTGTCTTCAGTGTTGCTCTGGTAGAGTCAGGGCTGTCTGCACCAGAAAGCACATAAGCCATTCCAGGACTTGGTCCTGATTCGTAGACAAAGACTGACTCACTCATTATGCTTATCATCAGAGGACTCTAGGAAGCCTGCCCTGCTATACCTGGAAGTTTGGAGCTGCTATGAAACTGTAGCGAGTGACTGAGTCAAGACAGCAGAGTACCAGAGCAAAAGAGAGAGTCAAGACAGCAGAGTACCAGAGCAAAAGAGAGAGCAGGATTAAGAAAAAGCTAGACTTTTCCAAGCCGCTAAACAAGGGGTTCTGTGACGCAGTAGATGGGTCCTTCTGAGAAGATTCTACTCACAAGGGTAACCTTCCAGCAAAGGGCATCTTTACAACAGGGACTGCGAGAGAGAACAGCAAGTAATACCAAAAATATACTGTCTGAGAGTTGTCCCACAGAGGACAACAACGATCCCACAATGAAGACAGGAGAAGCCTAACATAGAAGAAAAAGGAAAAACAATACAATGAATTTGAAGGTCGTGAGAGAAAAACAAACAAAAATCATGTACTCACTTGGTGGGAAAGAATAGCTCTAAGTTTTCTCCATCAGTCATTACTCCTTTCTTCTAAAACTAGTAATGATCTGTTGAGCTTTGCTTCCGCTGTGTCTCTATTTTCTCCAAATTAAGCCATTCCTTCCTTGAGGGAGGAGAGAGGATGAGCCTCATCAGGAAACAACAAGCAGACAAAGGGAGTTTGAGAAAAGTTGATGAGCTGTTGTTGGGAGATACTTTTAGTGAAAAATTTTTAGCCTTATTGCCTTTTAGATTTTACTTCACACTGTAAAAAATGCATTCTCATATACTACCTAATATACTCTTAAAACGAACAGAAGGAGCCTCATGGAGAAACCTGAGAGGATTCTTCACTGGTCCCGTGTAAAAGGGGACCTCCATGCAGGGTCAGAAATAAGGATTCAGAGCCAAAGGGAGTTGCTATTTGCAAAAGGTGTTTCTTCACACTGGTCTGTGCGACAGTGGCCTGGAAGTCACCATATAGACAGTATTACAATTTGACTCTCATGTTTTTATTTACAGGAATTCTCAATGAGTCTACCCATCTTGGGAATCTGTGGACTTTGACAGTGGTTGCTGATGCAAGTCTGTGTGCTGTGGAGAGCTGATGTAAGCTGTAGGAGATTGGGCCTGCTAAAACAAGTTAGATCACGAGAGGCATGTGCTTAAAGCTGATATTGGGACCACAGCAGAATTCGCTTTTGCCTCCAGCCTCTACACAGTCATCAGCTCCACTTCACCAAGACAAAAAGACTAACTCTCTGCAGCTATGAACCAAAACAAATATTTCCTACTTTTCTGTTGTTTTCTGGAAATGATGGAAAGCTGGTTCACCATGCAGTATTAATAGAATGAATTTCTAAGCAGCCTGCTTCATATCCACAGTATATCCTATGATGAGTCATAATATTTAAATTTTTAACCAAAATAAAACTGTTATTGTGGCTCTTGAGAAATACTATAATTTAGTATTATAGTATTATAATAACAGGATGTAGATGACCAATTTCTAATGATTTTTATACCATAATATAATTCTATGCATAGTATAGAAATGTTAATTTAACACAACAGAGCCTATGACCATGAACCTTTTTGTGATGCAGAATTCAGAAGCGAGTGGCATCTCTGAGCCACTATACAATAGTGCAGTTTACAAATTCACTAAGACTGGTCCATAAGGCCATTTAGATAAATTATGATGGTAATCTTTCTGTTTTACTGTGTTGTAAATAGTAGCTGATAGCTGCGGCTAAGTCAGTCTTAGGCACAATTCAGTTACACGTGCGTAAATTTTTCAACACACAACGGTCCTATGTTGCTTAGCTCCCGGTGATGTTGAAAAGACATCATTCTTTCTGCTGTGCTATGGTATAGTCATTTCTGGTCTAAATTTTAGATTCCCTAGAGCACATATTTAAACAAACTGAGTAATTCAACAATAAAAAGTTTTAGTTAGGGGCATGGACCAATTCCTAACCTTCTAAAGACATGAGCCTCTTAGTCTTTCGTTGTATGGATCTCAGGGTAAAAGATCAGAAGAGACATAAACTAGAGGAATATTGTCTGGTCTCCCATCTTTTCTGGGCTGGGTTTTCTCCTAGAACACCCGTGAATCTGCAGCTGCTGGCAAAGATCACCATCTCTCTTGGATTTTGTTTCACGCTGTGATTGCCTCTGGAAACTTAGTCAGATCTTAGTCCAAAGAAATCTCCTCCTGGCATAGCCACATGTATCCCATCACCACTAAAAAATCTATTACACTTTATTATCTAATGGTGTACGTGTGTCTGTATGTGTGTGTGTGAATGACAGCTTCACATATTTAAATAATGAATTTTAGTTACCTTCACCACTTCATTCCTCTATCTCATCCACCCCCCAAAATTATGTTTCATAAGATCGAAAATTAATTAAACAAATAATTTGTGGTTCATAAAATGGATATAAACTCATATTTTAATGTTCAAAAATTTTTCATTTAAGCATACCTATACTCAAGCATTTTATATACAGTCTATAGTTTTACCTTACATTGGCAGGTAAGAACAATTGTAACAAAAACCGTACAGCCCACAAAAGCTGACATGATCGCTTTGCCTTAATGGGGACAGTTTGGTGACCTCTGACCTACCCCCCCCCCTATGCTGACAAAATTGCTCTACACCTTGAAGTCCTGAAACCCAGGCTGCTCAGAGAGTCTCGGAAACGTCATCACTGGGCTCGAAGTGGCTCTGCTGAGGACACCACACATCTCCTTTACATGTAATCACTGACGCTAGAGATGTCTCACTCCCAGGTGAAAAATTCATAGATTTGAGTTGAAGGCCATATGCAGGGTACAAATGTGTGTCTTTTGCTTCTAAGTAAATATATACTGTTCTTTAAAATATTTTAATTGTGTAAAATGTGAAAATTAATTAAATTGTGTAAACTAATTTAACTGTGTAAAATCATCACCATTTCTGATGATCTACAGCTAAAGCCTTAAGCTCATTCTATAATTACATTTTTTAAATTTTTTTCTGTTAGTACTATTATCTTGTGTCTCCACATTTTATAGTAAATCTTAAAATTTCCTCTCTCCCCCAACTGCTTCCATGAACTATTCAGTACTGAGTGTTTTGACTACAGAAAGACATACCAAGGTTATTAAAACAAAACTGTTTAATGAGTTTGTGCTTCTACAGGATTATGTAGGATAAGAACTGGTATCATAGTCTTTATTCTACCTCCAGGCTGATTTTAGGTTCCACTGGACTGGAAATATTAATAGTCTTATTTTTCATGATAATTATCACTAGCTATGCATTATTCAAACACATGTTTAAGTTTGGCTTAAAATAGACACTAAATAGAAGAATAGATCAGAATTATACTCTCTTGCTATTGATCCATCTAAAGCCAAAATAAATGAAAACACATCTGCCATGAAAATAGACTGTGTAGCTAAAGCTAAGGGGTAGTTAGTAGTGATTTTTGTTCACTATTACCTAT